GGTCCAGCGATCCACTGACCGCAAGACCTAGGGAGACAGGTCATGATGCGGTTCCCAACCCCAGGAGAGGAGTCTGGGGGACCCGCAAACCAGGAAGAGTGGCCTGGGGGAGTGGCCTGCAGGGAAGGGAAGGAGAGGGCTGGCTGAAGCCGGAGCCTCACCTGCACGGTGGCGCACTGCCCCCCTGGGAGCGTGAAGGGGAGCTGGTTTGCAGTGCTGGTGGACTTGGGCAGCAGGTAGGGATATGTGGGTGTCTTGTACTTGGCCTTGGTAGTCTGAAGCGGAGGGATGGCAGTCAGCAAGAGAAGGCAAGCCTGCAAGAGGTGGCTCGTCCCCACACTCACTGGCGGGGGCGAGCACCTTGGTGAAGTTCCAGCGCTGGATGAAATGCCGAGCAAGGTCCCGGGCAGATGGGCCGTGGACAACCACCCCGATGTCCCGCCATGGCATCCGGGGTGTGGTCTCTCTGTCGATGAAATCTGAGGGTCCCAGGACAGTCAAGAGTAAGATCAAGGCAGGTCTCTTGGGGCTCCTTTGGGGAGGGAGAAGGCAGAGCCTACCAGAGGGACACCTGCACTGTCCTTGACCCGCCTCACCTCATTCTCAGTCCCAGCCCCAACCCCTGCCCCTGCTCCCAGCTCAGACACTGTAGGAGGGAGGCTCACCTTCAAAAGGTCGGTCCAGCTGCACCCAGTCCTTGGTGATAAGGTTGCTATAGTCCTTGCCCAGCCAGAAGAACTGGTTGTGAGAGAGGTCTGGGGTGGCTGGAGGGTCTGGGCACGGAGTCGGAGACTGTGGGGGGAACATGCACAAGCCAGGGGCAAGGAGAGGTCATGGGCCATTCAGAGCCGGGGCCAAAGAGAACATAGGAGCACTGAAAAGTGTGAGAGAGACATAGAGAGCAAGAATGAAACAGAGAGAGTTCTATTCCCGTCTCCCCCCAACCTCGGCCGCATTTGATATCCATAGAGGAGTGAGGAGGGAACTATCTTACAGTACGCTTTTTTTTTTTTTTTTTTTTTTTTTTTAGATTTTTTCCCATGGGGAAGTGCACTCACAAACACAGAGAGAAACAGAGAGAGGGAAAGTGAGAAATCATTCCTCAGGGAGGATGGCCACACCACAATCCCTTTTCCTCCACTCGCCTAGAATTTGGGGCACGCATGCACATGCACTTGACATGATTTTCAAGCCGCCCAGTCTGGAACTCAGACAGTGGTCGGCCATGTGAGAGTCTAGAACCTTAAGCACCGTGCTACTTGCCAACCCACCCTTATAGTATTTTTAAAAAGGATTCTTGAGGTCTCAGCAAGGCTGAAGCACTCCCCAGGGTGTGGAGAGCCTTGAATGTCCAGGAGAGGAAGGCTGGCACTCAGAAGAGGGGTGCATTTAGGTTACCTGAGTTTGGGGGGAGCTCAGGAAAGACTCAAAGGAACTACCTGTGAGGAGGTCGATTCAGAGGAGTTTCCAAGGTCAGTCAGTCGATAGTGCAGGTCATCCCAACGGCCATAGGCAAGGTCCAGGCCCCCCAAGAAGGCCACTACTTGGTCTACTACCAAGAGCTTTTCATGATGGGCCCACAGCGTCACCTGGTCTGGGTGGCGCATCACCTGGAGGAAGTATAGAAGAGTTCATGAGGGTGGATTTTGGTGAGAGGAGACAGAGGTGCTGGGAGGGAGAGTGGGAAGGTGGGAGGATGGGACCTCGGAGGGGGAGTGTTGGGGGAGGAGCAGTGTCATGCAAGAGGGGACCCTGTGGCCCGAGAGTCACCTTGATGTTGGGGTGCAGCAGCATCAGAGCCCTCTTGCTGTACCCACTGTTGATGCCCAAGGCCAGTTCCACTTCTTTAAACAGCAGTACAGACACGCGGACACCCTGTTCCTGTGGTGAGGGGGGCTATCAGGTCCTAGTGCCTCTCTGAGTGGCCCCTTTCCATCCTCCCAAGCCCTGCCCATGCTCAGGATTCCTGCGCATCCCTCCACCCAGCCGGAGACCCCAGATGCTCTGCCACGTATACCCTGCTTTGATGTTTGCTGCAAACAGACTGCCATTTATCTGCTCACCCACTCATCCATCCACACAGCTACCCGCTTCTCCTTCATTATCTATCCACCCATCTTCCCAGTGGTTTGTTCATCCTCTTGCCAACTGCCTTATCCCTCCAGCTGCTCGCCCACCCTCCAGTCCCTCCACTCTTCCAAGTGCTGACCTCCTGTACACCTCCCTTTCCACTGTCTGCACCACTTACCCACCTCACCCCTACCTCATCCACACGTCCTTCCTCCCATCCATCAACACCCACAGGTGCCCTTGTGTGGCCGGCACTGAGCCTTGTACTGGTACCAGTACCAGACACGGACGCCCCAGGAACACAGCAAAGCACTGTGGGTAATGGGAGAGGAGTCTATGCCATGGGGCGGGGAGTGGCAGAGGGAGGTTATCAGTTCTCCTTAGGGAATGGGGAGCCAGAGGAGATGATGTTTGACAGACACAGAGCCAAGATGGGCACGTCTCCCCCGCTGAAACCTCAGATTCCCTTTCTTGTCAGCCTCTGCCCCAGGCACTCCCACCAGCTGGCCCTTGGAGCCGGACAACTCTCCTCACCGCCTTCCTCTTGAGCATAATGTCCAGTCTCCAGTCGTCTGAGTGGGCAGGACGCTTCAGATAAACCTCGGGACTTAACCTGGGATCCAAAGTGGGGGTGAGGGGTCAGCTAGCCCCAGACGACCAGCCCCTCCTCCCTTCCTACTCCCTCCTCTGACAGGCACGCTGACCCGCCTCAGGCCCCATCGTGCCCCTTCCTGCCTGAACCTTCCCCCACTCACCACCAGTCCGTGATGAAAATCTCCTCTTGAGCTCGCAGGATGGCATCTGCCACAGCAGCAAAGTAACCTGCCCCGTTCACAAACCTGGGGGAGGCCAAGCCAAGGAGGTCAGAAGTCAGAAAGCTCTGGAGAGTGAAGACCGAAGGGCAGTCGTGGGTCAGAGGTGACAGGAGAATCAAAGATCAGGCATGAGTAGAGAGGCCAGAGGGTATCAGATATATCAAAGTGGGACTTGCCAGAATGATTTGCCGGCATGAGCTATACAAAAATGAAAACGAGGGACCAGCAGATGGCATAGCATTTATGTTGCTGGACTCCCACGTGGCCGACCACAGTTCAAGTGCTGGACATACTGGCTTGCTTTCTCACTTTCTCTACCTGTCTCTTTCTGGTGAGCACACGTACCCTATAGCAAACGTCAAAAAATAATAATAGAGGGAACAGCAGTTGGCATAATGGCCATATCGCTGGACTACCATGTAGTCAACCGTGGTTCGAGTCCCGGACCCGGTGGCTTAAAACTCACGCTGGGCGTGTGTGTGTGCGTGCCCAAGATCTCAAGAGAAGAATGGCGAAGGGATTGTGGCGTGGCCAAGATTTCTCGCTTTCTGTCTCTCTCTGTCTTTCTGGCGAGTACATGCGCCCTATAGCAAAAACCTCTCAAAAAAAAAAATAATAATAATAACAGGGGCTGGCAGGTGGCATGGTGGTTAAAGGAGCTGGATTCCCACATGGCTGACCGTGGTTTGAGTTCTGGACCTGGCAGCTTGGTTTCTCGCTTTTCCTTTCTCTCTCTCTGTGTCTCTGTCTAGTCAAATTGAAAACTAATAATAACAAATGGTATTAATAAAAATAAATAATTATTTTTAAAAATGAATAAAATAAATATTGTTTTTTAAGAGAGATTTTTGCAACAGGATGTGTGCACTCACTGGAGAGACAGAAAGAAAGCAAAAAATCACCCTCCAGGGGCAATGGCCAAGCCGCAATTCCTTCTCCTTATTCTACTCTCAGGATTTTGGGCATGGGGACCAGCAGTTGGTGTAATGGCTATCTCGCTGGACTCCCCCATAGGTGGACCCCGATCG